CTTAATTATATTGGCAATATATTATCATTCCACTTTCGCGATGGGTATATTGTTTAATTGAAAGTCATTTGCATAGATTTATTATTTTTATTTTAAAACAAATGTTTTAAATAGAATAATATTGTGCTATCATTCTAATTATCGAATTATATTTAAAGGCTATGATGTATTGCAAAAAATATCACAGAAATTAGCAGCAATATAATTATACACAATTTATGTCAAAGAGAATACGTTATATAAAATGAAACTTGAAATACTTAGTAATCGAAAATTGCAAATATCTATTTTTTAATATTTCATACACTTTAAGTTTAATTTGTTTTTGACATTTAAGACTGCAATAAACCGAAAAATATGCTTCTATATTACCAAATGTAAACTAAACGAAACTACTTTGGTCATCTGTTAAAGTAAGTTCCACTTATGCACAATAACAGTAACATATGACTTCTAGTCCAACTTACGATATATCATGGTCTGTTATTTTAAACATATAAAAACAAACTGTTATAAGAATATATCAGTTGGTTATTTCATATATAACCATATATATAAGCATATTTTTAAAGAAAAATATGCAGTTCTTATTTAATTTATTGTAAGAACGTGTATAATGTAATGTCTGTTTTATAATAAACCCGAAATAGTTTTCTAGTGCTGGAAACTTTTTTAATACGACGTTCCATACTAATTTAAAGACTCGATCGAATGTTTTGAAATCACCTAGCTGCATTGATAAACATGAGCATACATGGCGGATTTCTATTTAACAGGTTTTTTGGCAGTAAGTTAAAGAGCAACGCACGAATTTGATCATATCTGTGAATATTCATAAACCTTAACTGGGACGCAACAGGTGTATTGATGTGTCTTTTTTGGAAAGCAGTACACTCTATCTACAGATTTTATAAAGCGGTTGACCCAGCCTGACTTCGTGGCTTATATCTAGTGTCTTGTGAAACTCTTTTCTTTTCAAGTGGAAGTCATCTACACCACAAAACCCAGTTCGTTAACTGATTATTTTTAAAATCTACAGACAATAGTTCCAAAACTGCTACTATTTGCATTGAAAAATATAAAAAACTTTCTATTCATTTAATTTAATTTTTGAAATCAATTATGATGAAGGAATTTATTTTTAATTAAGAATTTTTTGTAGCACAACAAGAAAACTATTTCGAATAGAAACGGTTGTTAATACTGAGGATCTCTTAAATTCCAAATAAATATTTTCCATCAAATAAATTTTTGAACTGACTAAATAGTTGTTACAAAAACGTCATTAAAGAAGAAAATTTAAAATCCCAATGAAATATTGTCCAACAAATAAATCGTTGGACTGACTAAATATCGTCAAAAATACATCATCGGAGATCCTTGAAAATATTTGCTAGCTTAAGTACATAATTTTTGGAGTGCAAATGTCTGTAAATAGATCACTGTCAGTTTTGAACTTTGGAACCGTGTGTTACACAATAGCAAAGATAACTACGTAGACGCTATTTTTGTAATAGATAGAATTTTTGTAGGTATAAATAAACAACACTTTATTTTTATTATTATGTTGAGGCTAGTTGAGTCAGTGCTCTTCAGCACTTTTACTCTCTATTAACTGCGAGGTTTCTTCATAACCTCTCTGTACGCTTTGACTGCATTATTGTTTATTACTTCATCAAACTAAGCAATAATTGACCTCAGATCTGCATACCTTCCCAAGGAGCCTGTAACCATTCTGAGATTCGATAACGCGGTGTTGGTAAGTCTGTCAGTTTTCGTAAATAATTTCAGGGCTTTATCTATATACATCTGTTTCTAGTACAGACAAATACTAAGTATTTTCTTTCTGTCTCTTTATGTTATAAAAATTATAAAAAAGTTATAGAATATTTTTGAAATTTAATAATTAAAAATAAAAAATATAATTAATTAATTAATTCAATTATTCTACAGCTGGTTTATGATTTCGTTCTAATATATAAATACAGCAAGTAAAATTGTTAATAAAAACTTTCATAGCAAAAGTAACAAAACTCCAGCAAAAATATGCGAACATAAAAAGTCAAGTACGGCTTTGGATCAGTTGGTTAAGGTGCGCTGATTCTGAGCTTCATATTTGGCAGGACCCGAGTTCGATTCCTGGTACTTGCAGTCTCAAAAATAATTATTTGCTGATGAAGGGTATTTGGCAATACTCGAAACAGCTCTATGGTTAGCCAAAAATTCAATTAATTAAAATAATTTAAAAAATAAATTTTTGTTGTTTCACTTCTGTTCGAAAACCTCTTTATATAAAAAAGTTATAAAATTTTATTATCTAAATGCGTCTGGTTCGTTCTAGCCTGACCTTCTCCCTACTACCCACTATTACGAGGTTTTTTGTGGTTTCAAAACGGCTCTTTAGCTAATTGAGGAGATCTCGTCCTCCCTCCACCACAACTAATTAACTAACTAACTATAAAATTTTTATTGAAATTAATGTTTGTTTTTAACATTAAATAAAAAATTATTGCCCAACTGTTAAACAGTTTTTTTTAATTTAAATATTTGCCAACTGTTCAGACGAACATTTCTGCTTTAATATTAACATAATTAGCATGTTTTACATTATGTTAAAATGAACAGAATTCTGTTAACATAAATACTCTACTGTTAAGCGGCATTTTTTGCTTTTATGTTAGACATTTTTTCTCTGTTTACATAAATTTTTATGCTCTTTGGAAAAAGTGTTATCAGCATCTAACAGCAGTTGGCAGCAGGCATTTGGCATTTGGCAGCAAGGATGTAGTAGCTTTGTGATTAAACCGAAACAAAAACGAAGTGATAAAACTCCCATTGACACGAAGATAAACGAACATAGATATCCTGCATCAATGCTCACTTAGGGCATTGTGCAGCATCTCAGCATTTTGACACATCAGTCAGCTTGTAAACTTGAAACAGTGTGGCACTAAGTTACGCTTTTACGATTCGCCCGTTAAGTACTTTTCAGATAAACTAAAAAAGAAAGTAAGGCAACAAAATTCACTTATGGGTTCTAACGAAAATAGAGTGAAATGCTGCAGTTAAAGTTCGTGTAAAATCGTTTTTATGTGCACATGTAAAAATTGTGAAAAGTATATTTAACATAATAAACATTAAAACTAAACAGAATGGAGAGTGAAAAATTTCTTTTTATAATATTTTAAATGATTACTAATAATGTGCAATATAAACTTAGCGAAAGCATGATCTACTAATATCTAAGTAATAAGTAACAGTTAGGATATAACATGAAATTTCCATTGAAACATTTAAACGAATAACGCCCAAAATTTTAAACAAAAGGACGCATTTATATACACTCAAAGTGGAACTACATTAATGCATTAACTTTAACGACTTGTGCTCACATCTAAGTGTGTTTGGTGTTTGTAAAGGCATAATTAGTAACAACTCGTTTTTATACTTTTTGCAGTAAGTGACATAAATGTGCGTATCTCTGCACTCTAAGTGGGTTAAAGTACTCACAATAAAAAAAGAACAGCAACAAAAAAAAACAGAAACAGAAAAAAAAACAAAAGCAGAAAGGACTCACACAATTTTGCCACAGTAGCAACCATAACGCATAAAAACATGACACACTCTATAAGCCAGCATGTCGCATATATTATTTAATCCTTTTAAGTGTTGCTAAATATACAACGTGCAAAAAAGGATAATTAGTTTAAAAGCTTTTTTTCGGTACTCGGCAAAAATGTGTAATTGTGTGTGAAGCAAAATAAAAGTCATAAAGCATAGCGCAGCAGTGATAATAATAAGCAGAAAGTGCAATAAACTAAAAATAACAATAAATAAAATGATTAAAAATGTTTAAAATGTTTTAAAATGTTAAAAATGTTTAAAAATGCTGAAAGTGTTAAGCGTAATGCATAGCCGGTCACTTTAAAAACAGTAACGCAAGAGTAACTATCATTGATACTTTAAATTATAAACAGCATAAGTACTTTAAAAAAAAAATACTTTAAAGTATAATATTAAAGTGTATTTTGATACTGCAGAAAAATCTTTAGATACTTTTTTTTTTTTTATACTACACTTGGCAGTAAAATTATGCAAACTCATTAAATCTACAGCACAGCTACGATAACATAGCAAAGCAGTACAAAACGTCCTTGTAATATTGTAAGAAAACAGTTGAAAGATTTCGTAGAAGACTACAGCACACAGCAGCACACAGCGAAGGAAGGATGTACCATACCATAGACGACCATACCATGCTATAGAACAGAGCAAAAGAAACAACAAATAAGTATTAAAGGAAAAAAATACAAAAAAAAAAAAAAATAGCAACTACGTACATATCCTGAAAAAGCTATATAGCAGCATTTGCCATTTGCCAAACATTTGTAATAAAACGTGAATTATTTATCTAAACATTGTATCCTTGAGTGTCTTCATTTTGTTTATTTTCATTCATTCGATTTCGTTTTTGTAAATATCCTTTACTGTTTTTTGTGCCTGTGCTTGTTCTTCTGTTGTGTTTTGTGTATTTTAATCGCAGTACAAAGCAAAACATTGCTATAAGCCGAGACGATTTAGCATTTGCTCTCAATGACGCTGACGCTGACGCTGTTATTTATACAAGTCAGTAAACGTTAATGTCCTTTTGAACTTAAGTCTGCTGTTTTTTTTTTCTTTTTGTGTTGTGTACAAGTTTAATTTATTTTAAAAACAAATTTTTATTTTGTATTCATTTCACAAAGCAGTATAATTAATTTCTTCAACAAATTTTTTTTTTTTAAATATTTTTATTTTATCACAAATTTTTTTTTATTTTAAATGTTATAAAGTAATGTTATAAATGTTATAAAATTTGCACTGCTGCTCTTATTGAATATTGTGCATTTAAAACTCGTCAATTTTTTTCAATATCAAATATATAAACCGTCTAAGCATAATTGCTGCTGTTCAAAAAGGAAAAAGAATATCAAAAAAAAAAAACAAATAAAAAAAAATTCAATAAAGCCAAATTTAAGAAATTTTTATATCAACAAAAATTCAATATTTTTTCCCAACAACTGACATCGAAAATGGATTATTTTTTACTGCTGTTCTGTTTGAATTTTTGCTTTCTCGGTAAGTTGAAGTTAAAGGACGAAATATTTTTTACTCTCATATATGAAAGACTCGTACGTATATTTATAGTTGCATGAATGTGAATTATGAATTTAGTAGTTCAAAAAACTGCCTGCAAGGCAAAATATTTACGTAGAAATTGTTCAAAAATTTATTACACTTTTGTTCTCTATTCATTTTTATTGTATTTTTTGTTACTTTTTTTTGTTTATTTTTTTTGTTTATTTTTCTATTATTTTCACAATCTTATATTTAGTGTATTTTTAGCTTTTATATGCACATTCTTTGGTCCATACAAATTACCTGAGGTTACATGGCCCCCTCAATAATAGATGAGCACTTAATACTGTGTAGGTGTGGAAGAGCAATTTTATATATTTTTACTATGTTACTATGTTGCATTAATAGAGAAGTGAACGAGTACAAAAATAGAAGCTAAAATAGAAGAGGATTTTGTTTCCTTTATTAAGTTTCCTTCATGAACGCAAGGAAACAAATTTCAAATTTATTTTGTGGAGCGATTAGGATTTTGAGATTTATTTTTGTTACAATTTTATACTTCTCACTAAATTGTAGAATATAATTATGTTATAATCTACAATTTAAGTACTTTCATATAATATATATGTATATAAATATTTTATAATACCATTAATTACGAATAAGTTTTATTATGCAGAATGAATGTAATGCAGATTCTTAAAGATAAGGAAGGATGTTTACTTGATAAACTTAAGCTTTTTATTTTCCAATTAAAAATATAAAAACTTAAGAAATGGTATTTATTGAAGTACTTTAATTATTTCGTATATAATAAAAAACAGAAAATCGATAAAGAAATAAATTAAAATTTAAATAAATATTAAGAAGAAATTATTTTATGACAAAAAAATTTAGTTATTTAAGCAAGAAATATTTGTTTTTTAGTATATGCTGATAGTTAGTAAGATTATGCTATTATTATTACACTTTTATTACATTATTATTAAACTATTATTCTACTGTTATTATACTATTACTACTATTATACTATAACTACTACTATACTATTATTATACTATTAATATACTATTATTATACTTTCATGATACTATAATTATATTATTATCACACTATCATACTACTATACTATTATTAAGCTATCATTATTAGTATTAAACTTTTATTATATTATTATTATTAATAGTATGCTACTTTTATACAATTATTGCACTATTTTTATACTATTATTAAAGTATTATTATACTATTATTACACATTTATCACACTATTATTATACTATTATTACACATTTATCACACTATTATTATACTATTATCATATTATAATTAAACTATTATTTACTATTATTATACTATAATTATACTATTATTGCACTATTATTATGCTGTTACTTATACTATACTTACACTATATTCTTACACAATTATTATACACTTATTACACTATTATTATAATATAATTATATTTTTTTCTATACTATTATTATTACTAAAATAAAATATTATACTTTGAAGAATTGCTAATCCATCGTTATTTTATAATCAATACAAGTATTAATATTTTTTTTAAATATATATATTGTACATTTCTATATAAATTGACAAGAAAATAAAAATAACATACTTTTATATTAGGTAGTTTTATGCAGAAGATTAAAATAAATAGTTTATAAAGAATGTTGTTCATAAATTCACTTATTGTATCTATAGTTGTGCTAGGAAGCCTTAAAAATGGGATTATATGTAACTATAAAATTTTATTAAGGAAGAAAATATAGTATAGTTAATATATCAGTATTACATTATACTGAACAGGATTAAAAATTTTATAAGAACCCTATAAAGCCCTGTAATTTAACTAATAACGAATTTCTGTTGAACTGGCTTTCAATGAAATTAATATTGGGGTTTATTATAACTAAGGAATTTAAATCAGTCGTATTATAGATAAATCCGTAAGTCCATTGATTAATGAATACAAATATTACTTTATTTGATTATTTATCATAATTAATTCATTTTCAGTCATTATCTTCTATTATTCATAATTTGATTTTGATTAATATTATCAAAATCAATAATATCAATAATTAATCAATTATGGATTAATTACTAATTACTTTTTATTCATTATCTGTTTGTCTTACTTACCGTCTATTCATTCAGTTTTAATGGATAGAGAGCATCGAAAGTATAGCTAAATGTGAGAATTTGACTAACTAAACTCTTCTAATGTCTGTACAGTGGTATTATATTACTGCTATGTTATCATAAATATTATGTCGGATAAATAATAATACACATTAATAATAATCATAATAAACATTAAACCTCAACTAAGTTCATCTGTCACACGTCACACTGTAGTCTCTTCTGAGATAATATACATCCGTTGGGTTAGGTTTATAGTTGTGGGCTCGACTTGATTTTTCTATTATTCATCCGCTGACCATTTACTCTCTTATGAGTAACTCTTCTTAAGAATCATATTTTTATGAGTCAGAGTATATCATAAAATATTCAGCACAAGTTTAAATTTCGTTTTCTGTCCAATTCTACACCGACTATACTCTTCAATGTGACTTATTTATATATATTGGATCATATTATGTTCAGCATAATCTGCTTTAAGTTTAGTGTGTGGGCAGAAAGGTTTAACTTTAAGTGTTAACTTAAAGAGGCAGTGTTTGAAAACACCCATAAAAAGTCAGCGATTGCGTCAAGTAGTTATAACACTCTGTCTGCTTAGCGGACTGTTATCTCTCCATAACTACATTCTATACGTCCACACCGGATATACTTGCTTGTATATCATTAGTGCTTAGAGATACGGGTGATTTTTTTACCGAAAAGTCAATATAATTTCTTGCATCCTAATTTCAGCTTAAGTCGTTTTTTCTTTATATGCTCTCATCATTTCAACTTTGCATCTAAACTTATGCCAAATATTTGAGTATGGTACGTTTAAGTATGGTGTTCGAACTCTAAACATAGTTATCGACAAATAATCGATTTTTTTGTTTGTCATGGAGAGATTTGTTGATTCAGCTTAATTTTCCATTTATTCGTCCAACTTATAATTTAATTAACAGTCTATTGCGTTGCTTCTATTTATTTCTTTAGGGTATTTGCGTTAGTAGCGTTTGCTGTGCCATCTGCAAAAGTTGCTATGATGTTTTCTGGTGGGGCGTGTAAGTCGGCTTAGGTGTAGAATTGGGGTAACTATGTATTGACTCTCATACTTTCTCAAATACTTCCCTTTTTTTTATTGACTCTAGTCGATCTCTGATATTTTAGATATTTTAGAATATCCCTGAAATTTTTCCCTAGATAGTATTGACTATCATCCTTTCTTGAATTCTTACCTTGTTTTTATTGACTATCATGCTTTTTTGAATTTCTATAGATTGTATTGAATTCTTTCTTGAATTTTTGTGTCTTACATGCTGTGTATATAATAGTGAAATCTACAAGTTAATTATTATATTGACTGTCATCCTTTCTCGAATTTATATTGATTATTGACTGTCATCCTTTCCCTGATTTATATTGACTATTATTCCTTCTTGAATTCTTAAGTTTTACAAGCTGTGTATATAACAGTGAAATCTTTACTTTTGTGAAATCGTTATTGCAAGTTAAATATTTTTGACAATTAATGGGTAATTAAAATTTATTTAATTTGCTGTCAATATCACTTTGGTTTTCAATAAATTCTACAATAGTTATCACGTAGACTATAGTCAATAACTTAATTTGCTTTGACCGGACGTCAAAGTTTCATATGTCACATACATAATTAATATTATTATTAGAATATTAATAATCATATTTTTTAATATTGAATCTATAGTCTTATAAAAGTCTACCTTAATCTTATGTTTGTTGTAAAAAAGTGAGGTGAGGTTTTAGGTGAGGATTTTGTATTCCAAGATCAATGCATTTACAAACAACATACTCTGAGCTTCCAATACGCAGTTAATCTATCCAACTTCAGAAACATCCAACTTTATTAAGTAATACTTGAGGTTGCAATTACATGTGTGGTAACCGTATAGAATATTTAAGTCAATTCAACTCCATTAAGTAATATCTTAGGTTGTAGTGAACATTTAAGTAACAGAATAGAATTTTTAAATCTGTCCTCATTGCAGAAAATAATTTATTTTACTACTTAAACCTAAAGCAATCACTGTTTTACCTTCTTTCTAATCTTATTATTACTTTCAAATCAAGTTAATCAAAAACTAAAGTAGAAACTTATAAGAATATTAAATAAATTATAAACAATCATAATGAATAAGAAACAATGAGGAAGAAAATATACCATAAAAACCAAAAACAAATTATAAATAAATTTTCATTAATGTTTTTGTTTATAATTACGAAAAACGAAGTTGTTAAACTTAAGCCAATATCGACAAAGTTGCTTAATTGCAGTTGCTAGCAACTTTTAATGCAACTTTTTTTTCTGTCATCCAGTTTTACGGTCTTATCCTCCATTTTCTTTCATATTCTTAAGTGGACTTTAAACTTAAATTGCGTTTAAAACGATCGTAATTAGGAATCCTGCCAACAAAATAAAAACAACCACAGCAGCAGCAGCAATAGCAGCAGCAGCAATAGCACTGAGTACTAGTATTAGCAGCAGAAGCAGCAGAAGAAGAAGAAGAACAGCATAATTTGATGCAGCGCAAAATTATCCTTAAAAGTATCTACCGCAAAATGTGTAGAGAGTAGGAGAAAGCAATATTTTTCAATAGCTAACATGGAAGAGAGATAACAGCAACTTTCTATTACTTGCATGCAAAAAATGTAAATCACTAGAAAATGTCATCATGACTTTGGAAAAACTAAAAGTTTTTCCTTTTCCTAAGCCACAGCGAAAGCACAAAAACAATTAGACGTGAAAAGTTTTTAATTTTTAATATGTAAAAAGAAAAATCGCTTAGATTTGTTTTTGTATTCGTAAGGATTTTATGGTTTATATCCTTGTATATCCTTGCATTTAGTTGACATCAATATTAGTATTTAAATGTGTGTAAGTGTGTGTGTGTGTTTGTCTGGTTGGAAGATAATTTTTTATTAAGTTTATGCGTTTCAAATTATGTGGTTATAATAGCTAATAGAATTCATAAAATTTGACAACTTGTCTCGGATGTCTCTGATGTTGAGAGATACTAACAAAAGCACTTGCTTTAATTCATTATTATATCCGAAAGATAAATATATATTAATAAGAAACCAAATTAAGGCTATTAAATAAATAATACACTTTATATATAGACTTCAAAAAATATGTATTCATCTGGTTTTTGTTTTAAGAATGCAGCAGAGGTACTTAATTAATTGACAAAAACATCTGATAAGTTGAATAATAAAATAAAATAAATTCAGTGAGAAACACATATGATATATGATTTATAATGTAATTTATACACCATGACTAAATTATGACATATAAATTATTTAGATGCTATAAGTGGACATATATCATCGGATACAGATATAAGATTAAGTGAGGAAGAATCAGTAATTCACCGACAAATTCAGAATTGGAGAAATAATCAAAATCAATGAAGGGGTCATAATAGATTATTAGGTTTTAGTTGAACGCCCCCTACTTAATAACAGTAAATAGAAAAACATAAAAATAAAAGAAAATAATCTTCAAATTAGAAATAAATTAAGTTTTTTTTTAACAAATTTTAGAGCAATAGAATTTTTTGAAAATACCTATTTGTATTGAAACCATCTATTGGCAGCTATATAAGTTAGTAAGATAGATAGATTCTTCACAAATATATGCTCACTGTCCTAAAAAATTTAGCTCATTTAAAATGCATTACTTCGTTTGTATTAGCTATAACTTCTGGATACAGACTTTTGAATAATTTTGTGCCTATAAAACTATTTGATTTCACCAGCAAAAGTATTTCTTCATAAAAGTAAGAATCGCATTAATTGAACTTATGGATAAACGCTACACAATTGTTTTTGTGATGTTAGTTCTAAGGTAAAAGTCGAAAAAAATTCAATTAAAAATAATAGTTAAAATAAGTAGAGATATGACCGATATATTTCAGTTTTCAGCAAATGTCAAACAAAGCGATATTCAGAGAGGAAACTAATAGTTATGACAGATAGAGATATGCCCGAAACATTTTAGTTCTTAACAGAAGTCAAACAGAGGGACTTTAGGGCAAGTAATTCAGAAAGGGAAACAGAGATATTTTTCATTGCATTAATGGACAGTAATATGTGGTAATGGGTAGCCACATTATACCACAAAAACATGACGATTAATGCTTAATACGAAAAGTGTTAATATGTTTATTTGAGCAATATATAAATATATGTATAAATATAAATGAACCACGTTTGTATTTGGAAAACGGGAGATAGACAAAAAAAAATAAGCTCCGAAGTCACAGCATAAGGTAGAATCAGTTTTACTTTATAGAGCTAAAAATCTAAAGTTACAACTATAGAATAAAGTAATCAAGAGAAAACTAGGCAGAACAAAAAAAGGAACGAACGAACTATAACAAATTGATATAGCAAGTCAAAAATGGCACAATTGAGAATTGTGCTTGTAGGAAGCACACACCTATTAGACACTTAGTTCCGAAACTCCAACTTTGAGTGACAGTGAGAAGAAGACAGAAACGATGAGAATAATAGAATTTTGGTGCAAACCCATACATGCCGATGCTGTAACGACTATAAAAGTTTTTGATCAAGAAGAAGATATACAAAGATGTGATGAAGTAAGTGGTGCAGAATAAAAGAAAATTAAAACAACATAACCACACGATGCTGTAATGGTGGCTTAACAGAGAAGAGAGATTGGTATCTTCTGATGGAGATAGAGTAGGAGAGAGAGAAATAAGAACATGTTTTATGTAAGAAGCCAAGTACTGAACTAAGCGAAGTAGCCAAGTATCTAACTAAAGTGATTTAGTTATATAACAAGTACGGCACAATCAAAGCTTCTTAAATCGATCCTGGAAGTAAAGCTTAAAGGAAACAAATCTTTATAGTTTCATGACTGTAAACAAATGTTGAGAGACAGTGAGTAGTAGTTAAAAAAACTGAATGCGAGAAGTATAAGTGTTACGCGAAGACATGAAGAATGGAAAAGACTGACGTTATAAAGATTATATCGGGATTTGACAAAGAAGAGAAAAAAGTTGTGATATACCAATCAAAAAATTTTAAGCCGATATAGTTATTATGGCCAGTATTGATGTTAAACATAATCAGAAGACAAATTTTCATGTTAGAGATAATATGTTGGATAAGATTATTATTTATGCCTAACAAAGTCATTTTATTGTTTCCATTTAAATTTTAGAGTTGCTTTCATATTTGTTTAATGTGAACTTTCAATTACATACTTTGAGATTCCTGTGTTAACACATGTCTTATTAACTAAAAATTAAAGTCAGTGATTATTGTTTTTCAGATACTTGTTTTTATTCAATATTCATTCAATAATTCAATAATTTTCAATAAATTTGAAATTCATTGCCCAAATGAATTAAATTGCTTAAATTTATTGGAAATTTTTTATTGAATGTTAAAGTTCCCTAAAAGCATTATTGTAAAATTCCATACTTCATTAGAAACCTAAACACATTAATTTGTTTTAATATCCGGTTTTAACAGAGCCTTAACAGCTGTTATAACAGCGCATGTTAATAGCAATTATAATTTTATTATTGCACCATTTAATATTGAACTAATGAAATCTTGTTGCACCATTCGAAGTCTTTTAACAATTAGGTGTATAATTACATAAAATCTTACTAATATAATTTATATAATATATATATTTATATTTAATTCAAAAAAAAAAAAAAAAATAATTGGCAGTTTTCTAGTAAAAATTTATTTTTATTTATTTTTCATCCAATACCATCTCGAATATTTCATAAATATATTAAAACATTTTAGGCATACAAATCTTGTTTAATAGGATTTTTCTTGAGGTATGAAAATTCTTTTGCATTCAAATTTTATTTTTAAATAAAAATTTTAAAATTTTTTAAATAAATAAAATAAATCATGAAATTGTACAGTTTATAAAATTTTATACGTGCAAAGTATTAGGTAGACTACGACATAGGAATACAAAAAAAAAAAAAATATGTATCTGAAACTACAACTAAGCAAAAATCAGAATTGTAGTAAAAATATAAATATTTAATAAAGATGAAAATTAAGTATGTATTTCAAAATTAAAATAAAATAAAATGTAGTAGTTTAAAAATTTGGCAAACAAAATGTAGACAACAACAACTCTGCTCCTATATGCATATTTATAAAATAAATAAATGTATCTCAGATACGGCACAGGTAACCTCGCATACATGAGTGTGAGTGGAGTGTGAGTGTGAGTGTGGGTATGAGTATGAGTATGAGTCTGTTTTCAGTTGAGCAGATATGCATTAAATTTCTATAAACAATAAATTTTTTTCTGAAATTGTTATACGTACGTCGTAGGTAATTCAGTAGTAGTTTTATACTAATAGCAGCTGGAATATGTCTGCCTAAATGCCAGTCTGTTTGCTCATGAGTTGGACATAACGTTGAACCCATCCAATTTTGCATTCCAGCAGCTTATCACTTTGTTTTAGTCCACATTTCGTTACTCTTATCTATCGTATGTACAAATATTGTATAAAATTTAACCTACTTCATGCTTTGTTTGCATTTCATTGTTTTTGTTGGCTGTTATTGTGTTTGTTGTTGTTGCTGCTACTGTAAATTCTGTCCCTTTATTAATCTAAATTTTTTAGAAAATTTATTTTCAAATTTTATTTCATGAATATCTGGATTTTCTAGTGTGTCACGTGTGGCAATGCCATACGTTAGTTTCCTGTTTAAAATTCATATTTCTTTGCAATATTTTTTTTTTTTGTTTTTTCGTCCTGAACGAGTATCCTGTGCTTGAAATATATTATACATGGTATGCTTTGTTCAATACGTGAACGCAACTGTCTACGTGTAGATACATTTTAGGGCGCCATGAAGGCTCTACAAACAAATTGAAAATTTCTATCGTAAAACTCTATTATTCATAATAAATAATAATAATATTAAAAAAATATATAAATTTGTTTGTGATTGTGTTCTGTGCTGTTTATATCTGAAAACATTTATTTGTTTTATTAAAAAATTGATTTTCCAATAAATATACAGTTTTGTATATTTACATTTGGAAATTGGTTCTTACCTGTTAGAAATGTTTTCATTGTTTTATTTATAAATATTTTATATTTTTATTTAGTTTGTTTTTTATGCATTTTTCATAAATCGTCAGCAATTTGTATTTGCTAAAGGATTTTCCAGAAATAGTTTATTTACAAATACGTGAATTTATATAATAAATTTTTATTTTATCCTTTCAGACTTTCAACGAACTTTTGCTCTGTATGTGACTGACTTAAATGTACCAGAAATTGTTGATTTTCGGGATAATGTTACGTTATCCTGTAGTTACTATATGAGCGGACACACACTCAACTCTGTTAAATGGTACAAGGAGAATTTTGAATTTTTTAGGTGAGTTCCTTGTTAATATAACTAAATCACAAATCTAATCTTAAGAACCATGCAAATCTTGATGTTAATACGTATTACAAATGATTCTATAATATTCGACAAGTAACTAGAATTTTGATGAACAAACTTAATAAATTATTGAGAAGTTAATCTCAGGTCAACTGTTGAAACTTACTTTTAAACTAACTTTTAAGTTTAAAAGAAAGCCACCGGTACTTTAGCACGGCAACGATAAAATATTCTGATTATACTAAATATCCATAAATTACCACTTTCCAATATTAAATAAAATGCTATATTATTATACATAATAAATTGATTTCCAATGTCCAATCTAACGAAGGAAACTAAATTCTTAACATAAAGTAAAGTCTTCAATAGAGTGTTTTTTATTGAATAGTAATGAAATAGTAATGAACAACAAACATTTTTTTATTATTATTTCAACACTGACTCTGAGCTTCAAATTTGGCAGGGTATGAGTTCAACTTTTAGTAAGAAAAATATATTAAAGAGGAATTAATATAGCAAAGTGTGACTATTTAGCTCTTATATTTAAATATGAAGCACTGAAAACCATCTAACTCAAATCGAAGTTTGGAGATATATCCACTTCTCCAGCTGATCAAATATTTTTCAAGCAAAATTTCTGCTATCAAGAAGGTTGGTCGCTTGATCTCAAAAAGTAGCCTATATAGAACGGAATAAAATAGAAATAAACAGGGTATCGTCTTCTAACAGAGCAAAGCACTGCGACTATAGTTAATCTTCTTGCTGCTTCAGACCCTAACCGAACGGAAGACATTCCGCTCTTCGAATGAAAGAATGTCAGTGGTTGAAAATCTTCTAATGTCGGAATAGGAAAGTAGTTCTCGACCCAGTGTTTTCCTCCTGGCTCAGATCAAGGTTGGGCAGTTACAGAGAATGTGACTAGAAGTCTTGTCTACTTCTAAGCGGAATTGGCAATCTATTTCTTTGAACATACTCATTTTGTTAAGGTGATAACCTAGTTCGTGGTCACCCGTTAAACATCTCATCAGCAGTCTCAACTCTGTTCTGCTAAGGAAGGTTAACTTACCAAAGTAACCTACATAATCAATGCTAAATTTATTAATAATTTTGTCAGTAAAGTTGCCTCATCACTTTGTGCAAATACAATTTGAATTCAGTCAGGCGATACAATACCTAATTGAGTTGAGTGAGTTATTGAAATGCAATCTTTTTGATTTGTCTTCTAAAATACCGGAAAATGCATACAAATGGATTTTCAGATAAACGAGCTAGACAATGATCAGAGGCAACTACAAAATAGAAACGAAAAATGTTTCTTTAAAATGTGCTAAAGTAAGTACTTACTTACATAGATAAATAGAATAAGATTAAGTGAAAAGAGACCACAGTTGTAACTTCTCGAAAAAGTAGTTTCTTGTTAAGTAAAAATTGGATTGAAACCAAGAAATTTGTGACAGTGCTGACAGATAATTCATCAATATGCACCACTATGTACAATTAGTCATCTCCTTTAAACAAATTTGGGAATTTCTTCTATACATAATTAAAGCCTTTCACTTTGGAGGTCCACAAATACATGAGCTTGATTGATATCCCAAATATGGGATGTAAACAATTAATTTTATCTACCATATTCCCTAATCATTTTGTTTTTAAAAAAAATAATCTCATTTTCAGAATTTTTTGTTTGATTTTTTTCCAACAAAATCGTCGTTATGCTTGACTTGGCTAAAATAGACCGGTCTGTTATTATCCAAACAAAACAATCTAAGCTAGCACATATCGGTGTACATTTTTGAAGCCATTTTATAAAATTATAGACCGATTTTATAGTCACTAATTAAATCTTAAAACTGTTTTAAGTATGAATTAAGCAAGGAAAGTTGTTGACTTAAGCATGACTTACGACTGTAACATTGGACTTCAAATATTCTTCGATTTTGATAATTCAATTATATCCGGAATATTTTATGTGCCTATATAAAGCTGTAATATTTGCACTATTTGGTTATAATATCTTATAGAGTGATTAATATCGTTTGCTATTTAGAAAATAATTAACTGTAAAGAGAACTGTAAAGCGTTCTTAGACCTCGTTAGACGGCGTTTTTACTCCGGTGGCACTTCTTTTCTACATTCAAGGCGGAAGTTACAATAGAAACAAGAACAATAGAATGACATGAATAGTGACATAAATGGAATAACTATTTTAATATATTTTATAGGGAAAATGTTAATTCCAAAAGAACCTGTATTTATAGCCCTGTATTTAGTAGAATAATTTATTAATAAAAATGTTATATTTTTAGTGCAATATTTTTTGTGTAATTAATTAAACACACTACTGAAAATTATTATTATATGAATAGTGTAATTTCCAAAAACTCAGTAATATATTTTTATTCAATATTTTAGTGTAGTTAATTATTCTATAAAATTATAGAAATAAATATGAAAAAATTATTTTAAATATAAAATGAAAGCAACGATATATTATCCATAAATTAGTAATATAATATGAGCAAAGATTGCACATTTTGTATAGATTTTGTACTCGTATGAGACAAAATTTATCGTTTTATTATAAATATTAATTTTTAGCTGTTTTTATTTTTAATAACTTCATTATTATCATTTACTTGTATAGATACTCGCCCATGATGCATCCTGTTTACATGAAATTTCCTGTTATTGGTGTACAAGTGCAGGACGGCAAATATTATTGCAATGAGTCTACGTGCCGTTTGGAGTTGAGCTTGCTGAGCGCTAAGTCGACTGGTACTTATAAATGTGAAGTATCAGGCGATGCACCACTTTTCCAACTGGCAGCTAAAGCGGATAATATGACGGTAGCTGGTAAGTACGAGTAGTAAACGCAGTGTGAAGAAAACTTGGCATAGTAGTGTCATGTGAAGATACAATCTACAGTATACGAGAAAAATTACTAATAGAAATTTTAAAATTATTTAATATTGTATAAAAAAAAAATATATTTTTATATATTTTAATATAACTATACTACTTTTTCAACCACAATAGCCTTGCCGCAGTACGATCCTTTAATTGGAAATTTCCATTCAATGTATCGTATGGAAGATTTTCTCAATGCCACCTGCACTTCAGATTACTCCAGCTTGCCAACAAAGCTCAGTATGTACATCAATGGAGAACAGGTACGCAACTATGCCAGACACAGTGGCAGCCATGCACTTCAAGCCCGTGTTAACCATGCGAAGAATGCATGCAATGCCTTTGTTGTTTCTCTTTGAATAGATTTTTCATTTTACGTATATGCTTTTCTGTTAAATTTATTTATTTTCCTTTTTTTTCTTATTTTTTGAAATATATTTTCCATAGTACATAATGTTGTATTTTAATATTTTTTGTTGTAGCCAATGTTTGGTGAACTTTTACCCAGCACTGATACTAGCATAGCAGCGCACGATTATATATTACGCCGTCAGAAGCTGCAGGTGAACATTAACTTGACTGGGCCGCGCTTTTATCATGCTGGCAAAATACTGGAACTGAAATGTGTAGCGGAAATTGAAAATTTTCCAGATCTAAGGCGTGAGGCGGTATTGAGTGCAACGCTCATGCCATACGACAATTTGAACAATCAAATGCTGATTCATTCCGGCAACAGTGGTAAGTAAGACACGAACGAAGATTTACTATAACTCAAATACACACATACTTACTTACTCACATTCATACATATTCATATACATAACTACACACACACAGATAGGAAGGAAAAGAAGCTTAAAGTAACTTGGAAAGAAACAGTTACACTAACAGACAGACAAACTATACAACTCCCGCATTCAGTGTTGCCACGTTTTTCTTGGCTAGGCACTGTGCTTTGATATGGCGGAAAATTGGGAAATTACAATTTAAAACTACACTGAACTGATTTTTCAATTCATTTTCTTTTTTGTTTTTTTTTGTTTTTGCTAAACTATCTTTTTTTACTGACTATATAAATCACATCACTTGCATTCGATTCATGGATTTTAACATGCTTTCTATGCTTTTGTCTTTCATGCCTGCTCTGGTCTCGGTTGGGTGGCGGCGTATCTTACTTTCTCGTACTTCCAGGCGCTGTGCTGTACAGACAGACGATTTCTCCTTTCGTTGTGATATTTTTATTAATTTTCAGTTTAAGTTTCTTATGATCTGTTTGCGATTCTGCTGAGTAGGCAACCAACAGTGGCGGAAACTTTGCGGTTGACGACTGCAGTTACAGCGGCTGCAGTTACTATATCAAGTTAGTTAGATTTAACCAATTTCTTTGTAAATAGATAAAAAACGTAACTGAATATGCATTACATTTAATTTAGTGTTATTTTATCGGTTTTTGTAAAAGTTTCTGTTCCGTAAATTTATAATAGTTTTAGTTTGAATATAATTCAGTGGTGGTTGATTTTTAAATGGTGTTGAAAACACTTTATTTTTATTCAGATAATTTAGGTGTGAACAGTGAAAATAACTTGAATTTATCATAAATTATTTCTAAAAATAAAGTAACGCACTCCAGTAAAAGTGTGCTAATCATAAGTAAAAGTAAAATATTCACAGCAAGTATATAAGGAAAAAATTTATTATTAAAATTATATTAAAATAATATAAAAAGCATAAAAAAAAAAAAATTATACAAAATTAATCAAATACAAGAAACGTATTACTTATGGCAATTTACATAAAATGTATTTTTCTAGTAACAATAGCTAAAATGAAAGTATATATAATAAAACTTACTAAACTTAATAAAATATCCATAAAAATATAAGAAGTACTTGTACTCGTAGTCCTTAAAGAAAAAATTAATCAGTGTTACGAATATAAAGCAACTTATAAGCTATTCTTTTCTTGAATTTATGCACTAATGTTTTGGTAAGCAATTTTAAAAAATTTCTTAATTAATATACTTCGTTAGTACTTTTTTATATGGATTCATATATATTATGTTGATATTATGTTGATGCTGTTTTCAGCTAGTTCGAGGTATTTTCAAAACCCTTCTTTACACCTTGACTAGATTATTGTTTATCACTTCATCAGACTAAGCAATATTGACCTGTGTCCATTTTGAGATTTGATAACGCGGTGTTGGTAAGTCTGTCATTATAATTCAGCAATATTTATAATATTTAATTTTTTTTTTAAATTCAGTCAATTAACATAGTAAATATGTTTTTAAGGGTTATTTGACAGTACTTTAATATCTGATTAAATAATAATTCAAACCAAAATCAATGCAAATTACTGAAAAGAACAAAATTTTCTCTGATACAGTAAAGTACACGGAGAGAGTACCAAGCCAATTGAACATATAACTATTTCAACACTCAAGACTATTAAAAATAAGTCCAAAGTATTTAATAACTATATAGAATATTGGTTTTTAATAGTACCATATATTAGTTTGAATATAATCTATTAGATTAATTAATCTACTATTGGATGATAATTCAAGCTATCATTGGATTAATTATCTATTGACAGCATTGTATAATTATTTTCAGCAATATATTAGTTAGATAATTCAAAAGAGATATAAAACTAGATTCCTTCACGAAGTCCAACCGATAGAGGAGGGTCTTTAAAGAGATATAAAACTAGTTTTGTTAACGTAGTCTCATAAAACAGGCAGTCATGAAAAGGGGAGAAAGCATCTTAAAATTTGAGATTATAGATGTTTATGAGAAGGTAAGCACATTGTTGTGCATAGTTTGACTTTGTAAAAGAAGGAAATTCGAAGGCAATAGGATAATATGGATGATCAAATATGCACTACGAAGCGGGGGAATAAAGGTGCTGATAAATTCAAACCTCTAAATATTATATACCACAATATAAACCGGTACAATATACCAGCGAACAAAAACTTATTGACACTTTCACTCTAAAAATAGAAAGACAGTATGCGATTAAATAATTAATCAAAAAAAAAAAGATTGAGCTCAGTGATGGCTCAGTGATGTTTGGTAATTATTTATATGTTGTAAAAACCATATTTTTGAATGTGGTTTTATACATACTTTTTACTGGTTTTAGAAGATTATAAACGGAGAAATTTTATTAGAGATTATAGAACTCGTTTCAGCTTCAAAACAAAAGTTATTGAAATAATATATATGTATATTTAATTTTCTTTCTAAAGTTAACTATTTTCAGTAAAGTACTAATAATATTATGCAAATTAAATTATTAATTATATTATTCTAACAATACTAATTAGTTGTTCTTCAAAATTATTTTGCTTCAGTGGTGAAGTATTGAATTTAGTACGACTAATAAATTAATTAGAATTTTCTTACACTAATAATATTAATATATTATCTAGGTTAAAGATAAATAATAAGTTTTACATATTTTAATTAAATTATGAAAAACTAATTTCTACTTTAAAACATACTAAACAATTTTAAAATATTTATTATTATATTAATAAAATTTTAATAATTCTGAGCTTGTAAGTTGCTAACCACATTAAGATTTCTACTAAATTTAAGTCAAATTTGTACTGCACCAAAATGTTTACTGTTTACAAAAATAAAATAATTATAATAAAATTATTATAAATTAAAAAAAAATCTTATATGTATATATAAAGAAACAATTTTAAATTTGCACATATAAAAGATTAATTTACACTAAAAAACATTTTTTCAATAACAAAAAACTACACTGTAAAATAAGTCCCAAAAAAAATGTATACTAAGCTTAAGAAAAATTGAGGGAAGAATTATTAAAGACGTCATACATTGAAAAATGAAAACAAAAAAAAAATATATATATAAAATAAATTTAAATTCTGTAAATAATTTAAAAATGCATAAGCAGGACACTCTTCAAATGTTAACTCAGATTTACGTTCAAAGGTGAGCAGAAGTGAAAAAATGCATATAAGCATTTTTAATTTGTTCACCACGAAAATAAAAAAAAATTATTCGAACTATAAAGTGTAATAAATAATTAGGCATATAAATTTAAAATTATTAGTAAAATAATGCATTAAATATAATATAAGTATGTAATACTTGAATGTAACTAAAATATAAAAAATGTGTTCAGAAATACAAATGAGAATTTCTTAAATAATGAAGCATAAATTGATTAAATTAATATACACAAAAAATAAAATAATTTATAATAAAATAATACAAAAAAAAATCAACTACTACTATAAATGAAATGTGGTCTCATTGTTAAAACATTTTTTGTTAATAAATTTCAAATTAATACATAAAATAAATTTCAACAGAAAAAAACGTAATTATAATAAAGTAAATTAATGAATCAAATAAAAAAATACAAAATAAACGATAATGCATTTGTTTTATTTTATTTTTTTTTTATTTCACTGATAATAATATTTTTATTTTAAATTTGAAATCAATATAAAAAAGGATTAAATTAATGGTAAGCTCATTGAATTTATTATGGTGTCGCATTCATCGATTCATTGTTGCATATAAAATGCATTTGAAAATAAAAAAAATTAACCTATAATCAGTCAACACCGGCTTTGATGTAACATACGCAAATCAGCGTTTAAGCGTTTAACTGGACACTCCAAAGGGTAATATGTAGGTGTCAATGTGTATAAATATATGTTAATAAGCGATAATATTAACATTTTTGTTACTGCAGTAACACTGCAGTGAAAAATTGGAAAAACGAGTATTCACATGTATTCTGTGTTAGGCCGTATCCCGGTAGCGGGTTGTAATGGCTAAATAAGTTAGTAAGTAAGTATTCACACGTATAAAATGTTTGAGCAGGGTTACTATGGGCTTCCCATCAGAATCTTGCCACTAAGTAAATGACTATTATTTGAATAACTTCCACGAGATGTCCTGCAGTACTGGATGGTGTTAAGTTTAGGTTCAATGACTTCTCGGACCGTAGCTCGGTCGTAACATGACGAATTCTCATGTTTAAAGCATTAAAAGTCTAAGAACTATTTCGTTACGGATCATTCTCTGCAATAACTCTACAAAAAAAATTTTTATACCGTATATAGGATCTCATCTAAATAGGAAAATCTTGCCGACTAATTTTCATTATTAGTATTAGTAGATTTTTTTTTTGTTTTTGTAAACCAAAGCCAAAAGGCTTGGATTGAAGAGTTATATGGAGACCACGCATCTACCATACACATATATTATATTTCATGCTGAAAAAATCAAAATCAAGTCGCTGTCAGGATCAAACAACGCCAGTTTGAATGACCAAAGTGTGACTTGCAACTGTGGTTAGTATCACACCGTTATTTTTAAAATGATGTGAGAGAACCTATCATACCATTGGATGTAATACCGTACCATACTGAAACTGTTTAAGGTTGCAATGGTCGAGTCGACTTGTTGTAGAAAGTCTAGTACGGAGATGAGTTGGATTTCCGATGATAAATATAACGATGATAAATAGTTTCTTGAAAATTTTCCAGTTTGTTTGTTGACATATCTATCAAGCGAAAAATAAGTCTCATCACTAAAGAAAAATTTGATGTGAAAGATTGTCAATAAAGAGATGTTCTTTATATTTTATGGTTAGACAGTGTAAGTATTTATTTTACCCGAAATTGATAAGGATGGAAATATACATCTAAATACGAAACATGTCATAAAGAGGGTTAATAGGGTTAAGTAGGGTTAAGTAGTTAGATATGGTTAAGTAGATAGGGTTAAGTGTTGTACCATATGTACCATGCAATGCATACATTTCTTTAACACGGTCACTAATAATAACAATAATGTTAACCGAATGAACTCTCGTCTATTCTATTAAAAGAGAATTGAATTGATAAATGTTTAAACTTGACTTAGTCGTCAATTTCAAAAATTAACAGGTCTGTCCAGTCGGTAAAAAAGAAATTCATGGATGTGTTGCTTCGAAAAATTTGGCGGAAGGGTGTGTTTCTAAGTATTAAATCCCCCATACGTAAATTTTCCAAAGAAAATCAGATATTTAGTTGATAGAACTCGAACTATTCTGGCAGTACCAACTATTCTGACTAAATCAGTATTCTTATATATCAAGCAGTTGAAAAATTTTAAGCTACTTTACCATCACAGTGGAAATATTTATTTTTTAAGTAGAATTTATATATTAATTTGAATCAAAACTAAAAAAAAAAAATTTGTGTGACATATTCCTTCTTTTTTTTTTACTGAAAAATCGTGTGTATGTGTTTGGTGTGATATGAAGGATAAATAAATTTTTAAAAGTACTTCTAATTACAATATCGTCCTGAAATTTTTGGGTTTTATGTAGAATTTTATTACTTATCGAAATCAAAAATATTATATAAGAATATGTGTAGTATATGCTTTGAAAATTCATTCAATGAATATGTAGTACGTATGTGTTTGATGTGTTTTGCGAGAGAAAAAAAAATATTAAAAAATCTCAAAAAATAACGGGTTCCCGAAAATTTTTATTTCGTACTAAATTTAAAACTGAATCTAAATAAAATATAAAAAATGGAATCCCAGGGGATATATTTTAAGAAAAATTTTCTTTTGAAATTTAATAGTTAAATATAAATATAAACAATTTTAAT